GGCCCACGTCTCATCCCCTGCCCTGGCCCACGTCTCATTCCCTGCATGGCCCACGTCTCACCTTTATCTGCTTTGTCAGGGTCTTCAGTTGTCTCTCCAGGTCTGACTTCTGTTCCTCCAGCTTGATCACGTTACCTAAAGACAAATATTCATATAATTGTTGGAAAAGTCATGAGACCTCTGAGTGAAGGGGAGCCAGCTACCCAAATACTTCCATTCATTCCATTATAAATGCAATTTTTAGCACCTTGAAAACAGTGGGCTGGAAGTAGGAGGTTCCTCCAAGATAGAAAATGGGATGACTTACAAAATCAGTGGTGTGTGTTTAGTTTATAGTCTCTGGAGACAGGCTGTGCAACCATGTGGCACGTGGGAAGAGGCCGCAGTAGCCGCCCACACTCCTCACTCCCCTGACCTCTCATCCGGAATGTCCCTCCTCGCTGTGGGGCAGAGGTTTTCACATAATACAGGAGATGGCTGGTCTCTACTCCTGTGATGTCTAAACCAGTTTCCAAGTTTTGCTTTTTAATCAAAGTTTAAGCCTCAGAACCACTTGTGACACTTTTCAGAGGCACAGATGTCCAGCCCCAGATCCAGACCCATGGAGTCAAAGTCTCCACGGGCAGATGAAACCTGGGTGTGTGTATTCCGACAGCTTCACAGGCGCTGACACCTCTCCCTATATCAGCCCCTCCACCTCACTGTCTCCAATTCTCTCCATAGTGCTATCAGAAAATTTAAGTTTAAATCTGATCACATCAATCCCCAAGTTAAAATTCCTCAGTGGCTCTCCATGTGCCAACCTAGAGCGGTAGTTGTCTGTTAAGCTGTCTGTGAATCGGATTCCCCAGAGGAGGCTTAAAACAAACGCTCACAGCCAGTTCCTGCCCTGGTAGATCCCGTTCAGCATGTGGGGCCTGAGAATCTCTTTCTGGGCTCGACGCTGCAGTCAGAAAACGCTCCCTTGCTTCTCTTTATTTTTCAGTTCCTTTCTCTAAAGCAGGGGTTCTCAACCTTCCTAATGCCGCGACTCTTTGATACAGTTCCTCATGTTTGGTGACCCTCAACCATAAAATTATTTTCGTTGCTACTTCATAACTGTGATTTTGCGACTGTTATGAATCGTAATGTAAATATCTGATATGCAGGATGTGCTTTCCGAGGTTGCGACCCACAGGTTGAGAACCGCTGCCATCTAAAGGCTCTTCTGAGAAGAAACGATTGGTCTAGAACTGGATTTGTCTGTCCCTGGGTCTCTTAGCAGAAAGATATCCTGATAATACCTTCATCTCCTTCACTTAAGTTTAAAAGCTTTCCAAAAGACAATCAGCGTTATTTTCACTCTTGGCTATATGATGATATAACTACAGAGGGTGAGCCTGAAATCTGCTCTGGACATCAACTACACACTGGTTTTCTCAGTGTGTCTGTGCTGGCTTTAAGGAATTAGGAACAATACAGCCATATTCTCAACAGCAATGGGCCATAAAAACAAAAACAAAATAAAACAGAACTTGTCTTTGACTTTATTCTTTGAGAACAGGGGCTGTGTCTGGAAATTAACACCCTTGATGGTGTCTCAGTTTTCGGCTGTATACTGAGAATGGCCCCAGGACACTGACGCCAGGGTCCCACAGTTCTGACGTCCTGTCTGGGATAGAATGGAGTAGCTGCTGGCAACTTTTAGGCTAAACAGTTAGTCAAGGTCTAAAACGCAGTCTGTTCTCACCATCCACGGTGGTCGCAGGCACACTAAACTAGCAAATACTGAACTTTGCTCCCAGGAGAAATACAGGGCTGGGTTCACACCAGCCTCTGGTCAGCATTTTCAACCAGAAGGCCATCTGCATCACCTGCCAAGGTCCTTATCAAATAAGCTGGTCTCATCCTTAGCAACATGCTCGCCCCACGTCTCTCTCTGCCCAGCACTGAGCCAGAATTTTACAATTCTTCCACAGTCTCCGGACTGCACAGCCTGCCTGCAAAGTCAACACTTCTCACACCTCAGGGCCTTCGTGAAAACTGCAGCCAAGAGCATCGGATGAGAAGGGTTTGATGTTTTCCTGACCCTGGGCAATGGGAACATAAATTTCTTCAGTTTTCGGCTTCACAGCAACGCTGCCCACCACTTTTTGAAACTGGCTGACGTCTCATAAATCCAGGAATATAGTAGCTGCTTTCCCATCTTTCCCCTGCTTCATGACACACTGCAGAAGTTATTCTACACTCCTCGGGGCAGCTTGACACACACCGTCACACTGCCTGCTCCTTTCTCTGGGTGCTCCACACTGTTGATTCAGTAACACTGAACCCGTGCTCACAGCTCCACCGCTCACACTGACTGGGGCTCCCCTAACACACAACCACTCACACCGACGGGGGCTCCCCCAACACACGACCACTCACACTGACGGGGGCTCCCCAACACACGACCACTCACACCGACGGGGGTTCCCCCAACACACAACCGCTCATACCAACGGGGGCTCCCCAACACATGACTGCTCATACCAACGGGGGCTCCCCCTAACACACAACTGCTCACACTGACGGGGGCTCCCCCTAACACACGACCGCTCACACTGACGGGGGCTCCCCTAACACACGACCTCTCACACTGATGGGGGCTCCCCCTAACACACAACTGCTCACACTGACGGGGGC